CTCCGGCGGGCCGCCGCCATCCCCTCCGCGCCTCCCCGCCAAACGCAGGCCGGGGCTTTGCAGCTGAGCATGGGTGGGTGTTTTGGGAGCCGGCGGTCTGGCCAGCGAAGAGTCCATCTCCGTGCCGGCTACGAGCACGTGTGCCAGCCTCCGCTGCTGCTGAGGTGCCGGCCTGCCGCGACCTTGGGGAGCCGGGTTACGGCCTGCCTCTGCGGGCTCCTGCAGGGAGCTGTGCTGTCTTTCGAGTTTGTCCGCTGTGGTTTGAGAATCCATCAGCAGAGGAGAACATCTGGGGCTGCGGGTGGAGGACTAAGTGGGACACTAACTAGTGCCTCTGTGTTTCCAGGTGTGAGGCTTGCCTTTGCTTTGGAAGTAACAGAACTGTTGTTGGTCTTCCTATAACTACAAGCAGCTTTTAATCTGCTAGTGTTATTACAAATAGGAAAAAAATAGGAGGGAAGGTATGTACATACATAATACTGCTGTAGTTTTGACTAAGTCTTACATCTTCTGAAAGTGGCAATGTGCTCTTATGGATCAGGAAATGAAACTTACTTGACTCTTGAAACTTCCATGTTATTATAGGCATTTCTGGTTTTCATTCTGCCAGGCTTTCAATGGGTATCAGGGTGATTTGGCATGCGCTCCCTTTGCGGGCTGGCACAAGTTGATAAGCACTGTGTGACATTTCACTGAAGGCAGGCAATTGTTGCTCTCCAGTAGTTCCCCTCATTCAGAGACTCTCTTGCTTACCTGTTCTTTTCTTTCTCTAAATGAGAAGCAAAACCATGGAGTGTTATGTGAACGCTAGCAAGATATATAGGATAATGAAGTGTAACTTGGTCTTGGAGCCTTTGTTTTGAAATAACACCTAACATACTATTCTGTCAGTAGTGAAACAGTTCAAATTTGTAACCACAATTTGGAAATAGCATGTATTAGTGCCATTTATTTCAAGAGTAGTGATTATTTTCTTTATACCCACTATATTGAATCATGCAACACATCTTGGGTAGGACACATGAAATTACTTAGTGGCAGTATTTGTTTTTTAAGTTTCAGGAATAATACATCTGTTTAGAGACAGGCTTTCTTAAAGCCTTGCTTGTATGCAAGTATCCGTACTTGTAACGTAGAAGTTGTAAAAAGGATGCGGTTCATACATTGTGTTTTCTTAAATTATTCTTTCCATGTAGCCTGCTGGAAATTTTCCCATTCATATTGCTCCAAATTATATTCTGGGAGAAAACAGGCCTCAAAAGAAACATTACAGTAGGTAGAAGAGTTCTGTTTACTGATGTATTATGCTTGAAGACAGGCTTAAAAGTCAGAGGGGCTGATTCATGTGTGCATTTGTGTAGTTTGCAAGACTTGTGGAGCTTTTCTGACAGTACCGCCAGCTAAGTGTCCAGCTGAGTGACATGGTTCTGAAACAGTGGGAGCTCTTTGACTCGGTGATTTTTACTCCCAATAAGAAAGCTCATTTTCTCTACTCGCCCAGTGAAAGTATCTTGCTGCAAACTTGAGAACTGAATTAATTTGAATGTTTTATTTGAAAGTGTCACCTTTGTATATCTGCTTTCCAACTACCTTCCTGAGAGATGAGCTGTAATTCTTATTTATAATATGCTGCTGTGGGGGGGACTTGCACTGGGGAACATGACAGCCAGACACAATTCTAGATGTTCATGTTCCTTCCCTTTCTACTCAAATCTTCTGAGAGCCACACAGAAATACCTACTGTGACTGTATAGTCATGCATACAGTTTTCTTAGCTGCTGCTTACCACGAGGAGAACCATTCTCTGTTTTGCTTTATAGGTGGGGAGCTGAGACAGGGTGGGAAATATTCCTGGCAGCTTGCCTTAGATACCTGATGGAGTCTGTGCTGCTGTAATCAATAGAAAGGTAATGCTCAGCACTGTTTGCTGGAGGTACACTTTGCTTTCATTTGAGAGATCCAGGAAGACTAGAAGCTGGAAAGCCCAATTAATCTGAATTTAGGCAGTGACATTCTTCCCTAATGTGACAAAACTGCTCAGTCGGAATATACCTACCTCTCAGTCTTAGGGACAAGCGTTTTCTCTCTAAATGGTAGAGTGGATGTGAAAGCATTCATGTGATGCTTTTGGCTGTCAGTTATTGTTGTAAATCATGGATGCTTCATTGCTCTCTTCCCTCAGGAGAGGAGTATCTCAACACCTGCCAGGAAACCAGAGGCTTCAGTACCTGATAAACAAGTGTGAAGCATGAGGATCCACCCTGCTATTCAGGCTGCTATTGACCTCACAGCAGGAGCTGCAGGTAATGCTGGAGAGAACTTAATTGCACAGAACTTCTGAGGGACAGATTTTAATAGGTTTGACAAATGTAAAAGCAGTTTTCCCTTGCTATAAAAAGCCTTCCCTTCTGTATTTTTAAGGGTATGGAGGTGAAGCAGCTGACCTCAGTCTGTGTTGTGACTGCATCACTGTCACTCCTCCCTGGTGAAACACCTGCCAGACAGTGAAGGTGTAACCCTTATTTCAGACTAATGATTTTCCAGAAGGAGGTTTAAGTTTCAGTGTTGGCTCTCATGCTCATGTGAGTTTAAGAATCAGTCACAAGTAGAGTTTTGGAGTGAACTCGGCGTATGAGTGACTGAGGTGCTGCTTTTGTCACAGGAGCCCTCTCTAATTGAAACGGGCAAGAGGCTGTCTGAAGGGTTATTGGCTAAGACAGCATCCTGCTGTGAATCTTTAAGAGCTGGGAAGCTCAGTGGTAGGACTGATGAGGATGAATTCACCGAACTAACTTCCACTTTGGTCTAGTCTGTGCTATATATAAAGTTTTGCTGGACCAGTTGTGACAGTCACAAATGAGGAAAGTGTTGCATTGTCTCGCTATTACAATACCGTGTTGGTAATGTCCATGATTGAGGGTTGAATCAATTTTTAACTCTACCAGGGAAAAGAGGTCTTTTCTGACACTTCTAAGCTGACAGCTGTTTATACAGAAAAGATGGAAAGAAAGATTTGTCTAATGTACTGTTGTAATCAGTTTAAACAATTTCATGGTTTTTTCTTTCCCATACAATAGCTGTTACAGTCAGTCCTTTTATGATGCTGTTAATGCTGTGAATGTGACAGTATTAATGGTGTTAAGTGCATTCCAGGGTAGTTATTTGAGGTCATTTGTCAGCATTAACCTTAGTGCAGTGAGAAAGCAAGGGGTGACAGATAACATGAGTCCACTGTGTCACCTTCGTAAAGCATTTCGTCTGCCACCCCATTTTGCCCAGTGAGTGTCTGTTTTGTGAGCATTCCCAAAATACATTATTGACTAGACAACACCTTCTTACCCTGCAAGGGAAGGCAAGTATTTCTGGTATTATTTTTTCATTTTCTTAGAAGAAATATGTTTCTGTTAGTCTGTTCATTCTCCTTTGGTTCTGGGTCCTCAGTAAAGAAGAGCTATTACATCTGCTCGATTTCCCAAAGTAGCAACTTGATATCTATGCAGTTCTTGACGGTTTTCCTGGTGTTCCAAGGTGCTTAAATGGGAAGTGTGGTTGTTTTCCTTCCTGGTATATCAGCTCAGGAGTGCTCCTGTTAACATCCAGGGCAGTGGAGCACTCAGGCTTAGGAAGTTTTCTTTCTGAGCTGAAGCCTGGTCTTGGCTACTACAAGAGCTGGAAACCAGCATCAGCTTAGAAATCCATTGCTTGGTCACACTGTTTCATGCCCACATTCAGACTAGCAGGGCTAACACTTGAGGATTGCTTGGTTTTTGACAGTAGAGCTTAGAGGATCTAAGAAGTAATTGGGTTGTTTTCTTCCCTCAGAAAAGATGAAGGAATTCAGACCTTTTACAACATGACCTCAGTAACTATAAGTCGTTGCTCTTTTTCTTTGCTCCTTCTGTTGTAATAGGTAGTTTTACTGTTCCTCTAGTGTTTCTTTTCCATGTTCTTTCCCCATACTTGCTTTGTATTGCCTATTTTAATCGGTAGTGCCTGTTTCTGTGTTTCATGTGTCTCTGTACCCTTTAGAGGTGTATTTAATCAGACAAACAGCTAGTTCCTCCAGCGAATGCATAACCTGGTTTTGCCTTTCTTTCCTGATACAGTCTTGAGTAGCTGATAAGTAATGACATATTTGGACAGGCAAATTCTGAACAAGAATAAGTAAGTCATTTAGCTACCTGTGGGTCATAGTCCTTTGGCTAGGATCTGAGCAACCTCTGATCACTGATTAAGTAGGACCCTTTTCCCCACCATTCCCATATTATTATTAGGACCACACTTGTCTAAATGTTCAAGCAGGGCTGACCTTTCTCATTTTTTCTGGTTTGTTTTTGTTGGTTTTTTGACTCTTTACTGCTGGCTGGAGGAATTCTTTTTTCCTCTAATATTTTAGATATTAACTGAAACTCTTGGTCTTTACCTTGGAGCTTACAAAGTTCATTGCTGTAGTTTACTGGGCTTCTTGTGCCACCTCCAATGACAGTGTAAGGAAAGCCCTTTCTCCTTTTGGAACAGCTGTTCACAACCAACTCCCAGTTTTTCAGCTTTGCGTTGCCAAGACCATTCCTGTTTTGTTGCGCTTCTTCCAACAGCCATTATTTTACCACATGTGGATGTTTTAGGTCTGCCTTTACACAGGAACATTTGTCCTGTAGATTGACTTACCTGCAGTAGCATTGGCTGAGCCTTTCCAGCTCTGCTTTCATCTGAGGCTTACACAGATGTTACTGGTCTGAGCCAGCTACTTCTCTCCTTGGTTATCCCTCCCAGAACAAGAAGCTTTTCACGCTTCCTTGCATGATTTGCTCTGAAGCTTTTAATGATCCATCTGGTAGAGAATTAAGTTTTATGGGGGCTAGGATCTTGAGTTCCTCTTAAAGACCTCTTTGCAGAGGAGCAACAACAGCGTAACACATGTGTTTGCAAGGAGTAAAATCAATTTAAAATCACCGTGGGTAAACAAATGCTTACTTTTCTACTCCCCACATAGAAGAAAAATAACTAATCTTATTTGGATTTACACATTTTTTTCTGTTTCAGTTTCTATATGTTATCTGTGTTTGCAGATAATGATTTCTGCCTCATAGCTGAAAAAACATCTCGTTAACTTGCCTTTTTTAAAATATATGCATGTCAACTATGCCTTGGTTAAAGATCAACTTCTATTTTAGGATGGTTCTTCTCTCTTGCTAAAAAAGCAAAACCATAAAGTCTATATAAGGCACACTTATCATATGCTTCCTGTGAGGTATTGGGTGCTAATAGATTGCTGTCAGCGTACACTGGTATTTCTTACTCAAAAAAGTGTAAGGTTAGCTCTTTCTGCAGACTGCTGAATTGAGTTAGGCCTTGTGGAAGGACACTGCACTGTGGGCAGAGTGGTTATTGATGACATTGATGGAAATACCTCACAGGTTTTTAGGGTGTTGACCTTGCAGTTCAGTTTGGAAAAGATAACACGTAGAGAAACTTTGCCCTTTTGCCCTCTTTCAGTTTATACTAGACACTTTCTTCCATTGTGTGGGAATAAGTATACATAAGAGTAGTCTGGAGTTTTGAAGTAAAGGGCTTGAATCTTTGGTTGTCAGTTTATAATGTATCATCAGTTTTAACACTGTCTCAGTAGTTTTCCTCTTGTCCTGGAGGAATCTTCGTCTCACTTGATTACAAATCTGTCATTTTTTTTTTTGTTATTATTAGAACGTAAAATCAGATGGCTTCTGAAGCACTGCATTAATGAGCAAGGCAATATGTTACTAAACACAAGTGACTTGATTGCAGAACAGGACCTCTAATTCAGTACCCATTTGTGTAAGTGAACTAATACATTTAGATGCTTTCAGTAAGGTAAAGAAATGTTTAATGAGAATCAAGTGTTTTCCTCAGGTAACTAAATTCACCACTGACATTTGTTGCCATTGTGCTAAAATCAGTGCGGTTGTCTTTTCCTGAGGAGAATTCATTCATCTTTGCTTTCTGCGTGATTTTCCAAAAAGTGCTGTTGTGTGTAGGCATTTCAGTGGTGCTGACCTTCAGCTGCCCTCTTGCACTCCACTGCTCGCGTAGGTGGGACAGCATGTGTGGTGACGGGCCAGCCTTTTGACACTGCCAAGGTGAAGATGCAGACGTTCCCCGACATGTACAGAGGAATCGTTGACTGCTTTGTGAAAACCTATAAGCAAGTGGGGTTTCGAGGCTTCTACAAGGGAACCACACCAGCGCTTGTAGCCAACATCGCAGAGAACTCCGTTCTGTTCATGTGCTATGGATTTTGCCAACAAATTGTGAGAAGAATTGTTGGAGTAGACAGAAAAACAAAGCTCAGGTTAGTAATAGAAGTCTGTTTCGTATTTTAAAATACAAATTTGTGCAGCTGCTACTTGCAATTACTGTATTGTCAGGATGCAACTGATGTCTTAGGCCCTCCCCTGCCAGTATGCAGTGTAGTAAATTTTGGAGTATAGACCTTTGTGTTAGGATATGGTGTCTAACTACAACAGAGCCATCTACTTGTTACTGCAGCTGGCTGGTTTAGATAATCACAGCTTAACTGGAATATTCAAGACCTGTAACACTTTACCAAAGGGACTGAATGTTGCAGCACCTGAAAGTTGGTGTTTCCTTGATCTCTAGGTTGTTCTGATTTTGCAGGGGAGGTAGTGGCTCTCACAGGGAGGCACACTAAGGGGAAAGGACACTTTTTTCTAGTATTGCCTGGCTTTTAAAAACTTAAATGATTTTAAAAGCTTGAATGTAATGGTGATTAGACCAAAGGTCTAACTTTACACGGTGTGTTGTCTACAGCAGTGGCAGTAGGGGGTTGCCTAAAGAATGAGAAAGAAAAAAGCATTTAATTCTTACTCTGACCCCTCTGCTGGGCTGTGTTCTTAGTTCAGTTTGTTGAGCCTCGTGTGATCCAGTCAGTGACCTTGGATCTCTTTTGAAGCACTTGTCCAGTCTCCCCTTGAGTTCTTGTAGAGTCCTTGTATCTACAACACACTTTGGCAGGGAGTTCTGCAGGTGATAACTGTTAATGCTGTACCTGGAAGAGGCAGTTGGTCCTTAGCCACTGTCTCTAAGCCACTTGGGATTTTTAGATCTCTATCCATTGATTCATGCCCCTCTTCCCTACTTGAGTCTGTTCCTAGAAGGAAGGATCCCTGCCCTTGTAGTCAGTGAGCACTCCGAAGCGAGAACAGGTAAAGGAACAGCTGCCTTTCTCAGAAACTGTTTTTTAGCTCGTGAGTCCAGAGCTGTGCAGAGTATTCAGGGGGTGAACAAGTTGTGGATTTATGCACTGGCATAATATTCATAGTCTCTTTCAAGCTACGGTGGTTTTTCTCTAGCTGCATCTCTTTAGAGCTGTCAGTGGTGCAGCAGTCTGTGTGCCTTACTGTGAGGCATTTCTCAAGGTATGACTTCTGTGCTGCTCTGAGACCATGTGGTGCTCCACAATGTGTTAAAAAAAAAAAAAAAAAAAAACCCAACCCAACCTTTTAATACTGTCCTAACCCCATGCATTCAAAGAGTAATGCAAGGTTAACCTCATTCTGCTATTTATTAATAGATTTGTTTTGCCTCTCACATCTGTCTCCAAATGGAGGTAGCTGGGAAGGCCATGATTCTGCATTTGAGATCTCTGCCATGACATGGGTACCTCAGTGCAAGACAAGTATCTAAAAGTGGCATTATGTGAGGTGTTCTCCTGTCACATGTTAAGATGTGCTGTATCTTAAGACTGAGGCCTGCTCTGAGGGAGTATGAATAAACAGGTTATATTAATTGCTCTCTATTTGTATTGTTTCACTGTCTTCTGGCAGCTGAGACCTCAGCTGAGACAGGCTTGTTTCCACCTTTTCTTACTGCTTGCTTTGATCAGAGGGTTCTGCTTGCTCAGTTTACAGATGCCTTCTTTTCCTGCCCATTAAAATGTGGGAGGTAGGCCAATCAACAGCACGCTTCACTTCTTAACCATCTTTGTGATGCTCCTGGGAGGTAGACTACAGACTTGCAGAGGCCCTAGGATAAGCTTTTGAAGAGACTTTCAGGGTGTGTGTAGGGGAGGCTGCACAGGAAACTTTCAAACAGTATGCATAGGGGTACTACTCCACATCTTTGGAGTAGGATACACAATGAGGAGTGTAGCAGTATATGTAGCAGTAGCAAGCACCTCAGACATCTGACCCTTCTTTCTTTGGTCAAGTACTGGATCTTTTCAGATCCAGGATTTAACTGGCCATTTTTCTTACTGCTTTCTAAGCAATTGCTTGTCACTTTCATTATTTTAAAAGTGTTTGAGATTTCTCAAAACCAGCTAAAATAGTTTGGTTTTGCTTTAAGTTACCTTTTCAGTAATACCTTTAAATGGCTTGGAAATAAACTTGTCAAGCCTGCTTATGTTTAGGGATACCCTGGTCGGTGTGTTGAAGCCTTGCAAAACAGTTATGAGGACGGTTAGAAAATAACACATTTTCCAGTTAAAGGAATACATGCCACTGAAGCATGAGTTAAAAAGAAAACAAATGAAGAGATAAATGCTAAATTTCATTTATCTTTTAACATCCATTTAATCCAACCAAACTCGTCACTCATCATTCATTCCATGCTAAAGTCTAAACTGAGACAACCAAATGGGAACAGAAGTGCTAAATTCCATTTGTCTTTAAATGCCCATTTAGTCCAACCAAACTGATTTTATTCTGTGCCAAAGTCTAAACTGAGAGAACTGTAATCCTTGTTCACCTCAGTTTGACTTTCTCAGTACGTGACTAGTCATCTTCCACAGGTTATTTTCTTTGAAAAACAAGATAAATGCCTTTTATAGAAGCAGCAACAGTGTAAGTAGAGGATTCTTGCTCCTCTGCTGTGTGATCAAAACTCTCCCACCCAGAAAAAATACTGAATTAGGCATTTTGAGTTGAGAGGGAACTTGAACAGTATTCAAGGCTTATTACTTCTGCAGTGAGGTTCACTGTATTAAAGATCAAAGCCTAAACAGTGGGTCTAGTTGAATCGTATGTAGAATTAAACATCAACAGGCAAAACTAGAAAAGACCTGAATTATGACTAAAACTAGTCCTTTATATGTGTCAGAATTCTTTTCAAGTCTGATAGCATCTGTTTTTCTCTCCCCTGAAGGAGAAAGGATCCTGTGTACTTTTCAGTGCATAGCTTTAAGGCACCTCTTCCATATTTTTGTATCTAGTGTGTAACCTTACTGCCTTGCTCTTACTCATAGCTTAATGACTGCAGGGCTCAGCTACATGCTGTATTTCTGACTCTTGCCTTGCTCTGTCTTGAGCTTTATTGGGTTGCACCTCAGATCTCTGTTAAGATTTGTGTGCAATCCGTGTTGCCATTTATTTACTGCATCTCATTCATTTGCTGCTCTGCAGCCAGTTACTGATTTCTTCAGTTCCTGTCACTGCTGTATCTGAATGTGTCACAACTTTGGTTCTGTGAGGTGAAAAGTTGTAGCTTTGGATCTCTGATACTATAGGTGTATAAATCTGCAGGGCACAGGGCCAACATCTCCCATGCATGAAAAGAATTTCTGTGCAGCAGTGAGGTCAGTCTCCGCTGTGCTGACTCCTCAGACTCCGAAATGAGAAAAGCTCCACTTGTTCTGTGCTCCACACCAGTGTCTGTAGGACTCTTTTAAAGTGTATTGTGAAACCACATGATCCTGGAGTTGCAGCCTTTTGAGTCCTGGCAGTTTAGCAGCCCAGACTTTGCAATATGTGTAATACCACTGCAAAATAAGTCCCAGTTCTAGAATGCTGTGAGTCAGTGCAGATGACAGTGCTGTCCTGCTCAGCGGTAGGGTATGTTTGTCTGCACTATCTCAGATTCACACAGTTGTGTTCATGGCAGCACATCCACAGAAAGACTACAGTGGTCCATTGTGCCTTGGTTTCAGATTTCTGTTGTCTTCCACTGAAAACCTGTATTAAATGTGGTAAGGTGAAATTGAGAACACTGAGATCTGTAGGTGGTTATTGTTCCTAATCTCTCTGAGGAAGTAACTAGTACCCAAACATTGCTCAGTAAAACAAGTCTACAGAAATCTTTATAAAAGCCAAGAGGAGGAAGATTTGATAGCATTTATTCTACTGCAATCGCTGAAGTATAGCAAGAAGGGTAAAGATAGCAATATATTTTCTTAGGTGTCAAAAGGATGTATTTGAATATATTTGTATATGAAGATGGGATGAGCTAGGCTTTTCATCTCCCTAGTTCAAGTAATTGCCCTTTTCCTTTGAGACTCTTCCCCAAGACTATCAATCAGTTTTTGTTGATGATATTTAGAGTACAGGTTCAAAAAGCCGATTGTTTAGCTGTGCAGTGGCTCTGCTGCACTGCAGGTCAGTGCCCAAATACCTTCTGCAGTTTCTCTCTTGCAGTGATCTGCAGAATGCTGCTGCAGGCTCCTTCGCCTCTGCCTTTGCCACCCTTGTCCTCTGTCCCACGGAGCTGGTGAAGTGCCGGCTGCAGGCCATGCATGAAATGCAGTTGTCAGGAAAGGTAATCCAGGGACACAAGTAAGTATACACCCTGCACAGTATCCCTGAAACCCTTTTATGTGGAATTATTATTTTAAAGTCTGTATTGGCTCAGTGTCACATTTGTAGTGTATTGTTAACTGGAGACAGGTCGCCGCCTAGAGATCTTTCAGGCACCAGTGAAGCTGGGTGCTAGTGAAGGGCTCCTGGCAGAGTCTTGTTGTAAATCTTACATCAGTCCTGTTGTCTACACAATAGATCTAACCCTTAATTGCAGCTGAGTTGCTTGTTATTTTATAACCTTCTTTATTATCTGGCTATTAAGCATCACTAACTGGATCAACCTCTCTATCAGGACAGTTTGGTCAGTAGTGAAGGGTGTCATTCAAAAGGATGGTCCCCTTGGATTTTACCGTGGCCTGTCAAGCACTTTGCTGCGGGAAGTCCCAGGCTATTTCTTCTTCTTTGGAGGATATGAGCTGAGCCGGACATTCTTTGCCTCTGGGAGACCAAAAGATGAATTAGGTATGGTGCCCCTTTTCCCAGGTGATTTCTACCATGCTGTCATGGGAGACATAAGGGAGGGAGATATGTTAGTAATGCACAGCAGTTGTGAAATACACATAAAACAAAGGAAACTGGACATACAGAATATGGAGGTCTGCATTCTGTTATATAGTAATGAATTACTGAAGTGACCACTTTCCAAGTGGAAGCAGGATGTAGGCAAAATCTTTATTATGGTATCTCTTCATTTTTGAGATGGAGATCTAATACAGTGAGCTAACAGTAATATTACAAAATTACTTAAATATCAGCAGTTCTGAACTGTTTCATTTTAGTGACTGTTTAGAGTGATCTTGACATATTTAGCTGTATTTTGCTGAACTGTATGTTCAAGTGTATGCTGACCATTTGTTGTCAGTACAATGATAATAAGAGAACACTAAGATTGAAAACTAGACATGAAAAAATGGGGAGATGCCAGAATAAAGATGGCTTGTCTCCTGCTGAAAGTCTGCACAATCATGCTTTGTCTTGCTGGGAGTTAAAGATTTCAGCTGCATGTATTCTGGTCCTTGTTGCAGAATGTTTATAAGAATCTGATCTGAAACACAAAATGAGGTTGCATCATGAAAAATTACTGATTACAATGTAACTTTGCTGTACCAAATAAATATCTGTGGGTGATTAGTAACACTATGTGGTGTTACTCTAAACCACGTCACAGTTAGCACTGGGCAGTAAGTACAAGTGTGAAAGGAATGGAGTTAATTTAGTTAATACAGTCAAAACAGAATTGAGTTATGCTTTCTTAGCATAGCCTGTAATCTAGGAGGCGCTCCTTATAACCTTTGAGCTTCTGGTTAGACTTGCAATGTAGCAGTGGCTTAAAATTAACTTAAAGATTTGTGGGAGAGCAGCAACTGTTCTCTTTGACTTCTGTAGATGCAGTAATGTGATATTTGTGTTGGTATTTTGTGGTGTGTATAAAAGCTTATTTCTTAACTTTAGGTCCCATTCCTTTGCTACTAAGTGGAGGTTTTGGAGGTAGCTGCCTGTGGATTGCTGTGTATCCTGTGGACTGTGTCAAATCTAGAATCCAAGTTCTTTCAATGGCTGGAAAACAAACAGGTTTTATGGGAACATTTGTAACTGTGGTGAGAACTGAAGGTGAGCATGTGGCTTATCAGCTGTATCTGCAGGGCTGCAGATTGAAATCTGTACCCTCAGATATCAAAAATGGCTTAAGAAATCAAGCCCACTGATAGTCTGTTAGGGACAGACAACTGTTTCTAACAAACAAATATTTATGCTTTATGTAGGCCAGAAAGCTTGGAATCTGGAAACAGACCTTCTGCATCTGCCATGCCTCTTGGTTCAAGAGACAACTCACTTACTTAAAGCTAACAAAAGCTCAGTATGCATTAAAAGCAGATAAAGGAATGAGCTCCATTACCCATGGCCAAACCTGTACATGAAAAATTAAAGGAACCTGTTAAGTTCAGTACAGGGTTTTTCTTCATCTCTAGAAGTTAATACAGGGCTGACTGAGAGCTGCTTGATAAATTAGTCCTATCACATAGCTTGGCAACTTTGGGCATCTGGTATCTATCTCAGTGCCTCATCTCTGGAAAAGGCCTGCACCAGGCCCTTCAGAAGTTGGTGTAAGAATGTACACAGCAGTGGATATGAATCCTGGCCCTGCTACTAGGAAAATACTCAGAGCTCCAACATAGTCCTGCTGTTCTTTCTGTCTCCTTGCCAGCTGTGGTACAGCTGCTATGAACTATATCCTCAGGTGACCAAGGTAGCCACCTTGATGCCTCTGTCATACCCAAAATAAGCTTCTAATATAAGCACTTAAATGGCTCAACTCAAGATACTCCTGTATCAATATCCAGTAATTCTGGGGTTAGCTGCTATACCAGTGAGTTCAGCTCTGTGTGTGTGTGTGTGTGTGCTTCTCTAAGCAGAAGTGTTACTTCAGCATCCTCAGAAGGTAAAAGCACAGTGGTCAATGCAGGTAGGCATTTTAATAAAATTTAACACAATAAATGCTCTGGTTTCATTTCTAGGTGTACTTGCCTTGTATTCTGGATTAAAGCCAACGATGATCCGAGCATTCCTGGCCAATGGGGCACTGTTCCTTGCCTATGAGTACAGCCGGAAACTTATGATGAAACAAATAGAATCTTACTGATACCTTCTAGCAGATGGAAAACAAAAGGTTCTATAAGGATCATTTGAACAAACGATCAAAAACCTGTAGATCACATAATGGTCTGAGCAGGGCCAAATCAGTGACCTAATTTTAGGAACTCAATTTAAGATTTTTAATCTTTTAAATTCAGATGATTTTATGGAGATGTATACATGCTCTTTGAATTGGACCAGCAGACCTATCTCCCATCTTGCAGATTCTGCACTAGGCACACTGCATGTCATAAATGTATTTTCTTGACCTGTAATGGTGCTAAAAAGAGTTTAGATTAAACCTAACAGGTCAATGTAAGATGCAGCAGGCTCTGATTTAAGGTAAAGCACTGTTTTAAAATCTGTGCTGTGGTGGCAAACTCTCACTTGTTGCTGGCAAGCATCTGATTAAAAGAAGTCTTGTCTAATCTTGCTGGTTATGACTGACACACATCCCTCAGCTAGACCCTGTCCTTTTCTAGCTCCCTTCTGTGCCTTTCCAAGGTCATGGCAGTTGTGGTGACTTGTGTACTGTCCCCATGAATGGGTTATAAAGGTAAGAAGTGTTTACTCCTTACCTTATGTGACTTAAAGTGGAGATATGCCTGCATTTGAGATAATATATAGTTACTGGGTTTAAGGAATCCATGCAGCATTTGTAACATGTAGATAACATTTTATTATTTTCTAAATCCTTCCAAGAAGCACTGGAGTACACAAAGCACCACTGAATTAAACACTAAGGGAGACTGCTGGAAATAGCTGCTGGCTCAGAGCACAGAATTGTAACTTTGTGCAAGCTCCTGCTTGGGTCACCTTGACACAAGTGAGTCAGTGTACTTGAAGGACAGGAAGCTGAAGAGGAACAGAAGGGCAGAACTGAGTTCTTAAAAGACAGCTGACACCATGGTGTCTGTGGTATAGCATGCTCTTACTTTGGCTGGAATCCTGCCACTTGCTGTGTCTCCTCAGCTGAGTGGAAAAAGCTCATATGACTGGATAGTTCATATCACCTTCAGGCCTGCTTGGTCATGTTACTTGATTAGACATGCCATTACTCAGTATTATCCAAAACAATGCAATAACTTTTATTTCTAGATGCTACTTCTATTCTTGAAGTAGGATGTTTTTTATAGAAGCAGCTACTGCCTATCCTGGGAGAAGGCAAAGCAGGTCTCAGAGCAACACAATTCATGACTCAGGCCTGGAGCTGTGCAGAAGGGATGTTACCAGCATGCTGTAAGTGATAACCCACCCTTGTGGAGGGCACAGACAGGCTGCCCTCTGGGGTCAGCAGAGGTCTTTTACCCACCAAGATCAGAGCTACATTGCAATTGGCAACTTGTCACAGCAACCACAACTGGTGAGTGACTGACAACAGTCACAGCTGGAACAGCTCAGTTCTGTGTATTACAGCTTCTATTTCAGATCCCAGAAGCAAAAGATGAAAACATCTGAATACCTGCTGCCTCTTGCACTGTAGGCAGCATGCACTGAAACTGCCTACTCCACTGCAGTGTTACAGCTTCTTTACTGAAAGGTGGCTGCTGCAGTTCCATAGTCTTGGTTCCCCCAGCCTTGACATCCAGCAGGAACTGATCATTCCCTTTCATACACCCATGAGAAAAAATAGTTACAAGCAGGGCATGGCTGAAGAATCTTCAGTGGCTGTTGCACCAACTTACCTTGGTTGACTGATACACTATGGGCAGTAATGCTGTACAGTCAGTACTTCAAAAGGAATTTATCCCAAATGTTTAAGTAATTCAGGTACAAAGGTAAAGCTTTAGCAACTGTTAAGACTTTCCCTTCTTTTCAAAGTTGTCTACCCAAGAGAAAGTATATTTGTATATGTTGCTAATAGTTGTGAAAAGGTAAGGACTGACTCCACATCAGTGGAATACTTCAATCTATTTCTTAGATTTGTCTTTGCTTTCATTTTTTAAAGCTGATGGTTGCAGTTTTTAATAAAGTTGAAGCTTCAAGAGAAGCAGGATATTTAGAACTGAACCTACAGCATGAAGCTGGTAGCTAAATAGACATGCATTTTGAGAGTTTACCTTGTGAAGTTCCTGTAAGCAGTAATTTTTCCATGCATAGCTGCTTAAGCTGTACACATGTATCAGTTGTTCAGCTCAGAACTTTATATGTTGAAACAGGAATTGAAAGAAATAAAGTTTGATTTGATTAACTGAGTGCCTGACTGTTTGTCATAACACTTACCAAGCCTGTCTAGCTGGGGAGCAGAGAGGTCAAAGGTGGTGTCACCACTCCTCCAGAACTAAAGGAAAGGGCTTTTGGCAATCAATTAATGTATAACATCTTCAGAACTGAAGGGAAAGCACCAGCTATAACAAGCTGCCATGAAACAACTGCAGATTTTACATGAAAAATTGAAAATAAAGGCCATAGTTTGGTACTAGCAAAGGACCAGACCAGGAGCTAAAGTCAGTTCTGATATTAGGGCTCAACTCAAGTTCCAAGTTTCTAGATTGTTGATTACCATAATGCACACTATAAGGATAAATTTCCTGCCAGAAGAATGCCAGGAGGCCAGCAGGGATCACTTAAGTTCCACATATGTAAGGGATAAATGTCCACTATCCTGAAGCCAGATAAGGTCACCACTACAGGCACACTAGGAACTATTATTGCCATCATCAGAGCAGTGGTCCTCAGATCTGAGGAGAGGAGCAGAGTCTCCCTCATCTAGCTATTTTGTTACTCACTCCTGCCTATACAATAGTTTTTACTTAACTGCATGTTTCAGCTAGAAAGGTCTGACTCTTGCTGTTATAGCCACTGCTGCTGCTATAGGCGATTAGCTTACTTCATCAGCAGGAAGGTTCACCTTCTTTGCCCTGCAAGCAATTAGAAAGGGCATCCTAGGACAGTGATATCCTGTTGCCAGAGCTAAGCCAAAAGGAACTTAGTCATCAGCCACTTCAAGCTGCAATAGCTGCATCCTGTTCCAGCTCCCAGTAGCTCCTGTGCAGAGGCCTTGCCATTGCCCTCTAGTGATACAGCTGTGGTCACACTCCTGGGGAAGTCTTCCTTTTCTCAAACCAGAGATGCAGGGGTTACATTAACTTTGCCAGCACCCCTTAACCTTGAGTGGCAGTGACTTAAGTTTATGTGCAATAACACATGCAGCCTCTGAAGCAACACTACAGTTTGGAGGACAGCACAGCAGGAGTTGAACATAAGCCAGTTCTGCCCCTCTGCTGCTGTGCCATCTCAGCCCTTTGTGGGGAGGTACACTGGCAGAGAAGCAGCTGTGCAGTCTCCAAGCCCCACCATCAGCTCCCAGGCCAGGTGTTGCTCAAAACCCTACATAACTGGACTTCTGATAAACAGTGGTTCAATACCAAGACTTCTACTCCAGAAGTATTAGACTGCCTGTGCCAGATTACTATTTCTCCCTCCAAATTCATATTCTACTGGCCTATAGAAAACCCTGATGCTGAGGGAAGGTACATCAGGTTTTTCCAGCAGTCTCCTGCAGACTGCCAGTCTCCACTGCCATCACATTAATGCTCTTGCTTAAAGACACACAATTGTGCTAGATTAATAAAGTAGGGATTACCTGTGTGCAGAGACATTTAAGCTCCAAAGGATCCAACAGCTCATTAACATGACAGGCAGCTGACACTAAGTAACTTCTCAGACTATTATTGCTCTGCACAACAGAACTTCATTTATTTGAGAAATTGTATCTACACAGAAATACATTAAGTGCACCAAAATGTGACTACTTCACTTTATACTGAAGCAGCAAGACATTCTCCAGGAAAAGAGATTAATTTTACATGTTTCCCTTCTTTCAGCTTTCCTTTATGGTTCAGTGAAGTTCACCTCCACAGCAAATGTCTCTCTATAGACTTTCCATGTTTTAGACTTGTGAGGGTTATCCAGCTCATTTCTGGGAAGGTAAAGTCTGAAAGACAAAATCGAGTAGCACATCTTACAGACCAACACATGCCTTTTCTTTCAGCCAGCCAAGAGAACTTCAATCTTAGCCGTGAAATATTACATATAGCCCCAGATCTTGAATTCAGATAGCCAGTAGCCATGCCTGCACAGGCCTTTGGATGTGAAGTAGTCTGAGAAACATACAGTCACACCCTGATGGGTTTGTGGGTTGTGGTTTGGTGATTTTGTTTGGGTTTGTTTTTTTTTCTTTCCAGAACCTAATACAAGATTAAGAATAAAGTTAGCATTACCTTCAGCTGAAGGCTTCATGATGGGATACGAGTGGCAGAAATTTAATAACTGACCTTCATAATGGCAAGGATTTGATTCAGTACTCAGGTCAAGCTCATCAGGCATGTTCTCCACTTTTAATGCTTACCAAATTCATGTCTAGTTATCACTTCATATTACTTGTACATCAGCTGTGGCTGAATTAGAGATACAAAGATATGAGCACTGCCTTAGCTGTTCCACTTATCAGACCTAGTCCTAGGTCTACCAGAATTCTCTGGGCAGGAAGGGAGACAGTCTCTACTAAATTGTGTTAAAAAGAAGGTCTGGTGGGGCATTTTCCTTAGCCCTGGAGGAAACAAAGCACTTGGGTGAAGCTTTTGAGATGGTACTCTGCAGGGCTGTCAGACAGCAGGCATACGTTTCTTCTGGCACTGGTTTGGTTCTAACTAGATGTCTGCACCTAGACTGCAAGGTGCATTGCTGGCTCAGCATAGTAAGCTTACAGCTCTTACAGACTCATGGCTACCTCTCCTCATGCTCTGATGGGATCAATTAAATGAAAGTTGTTTCCTTCCTATCCCAGTCACAAAGAACACTGCAATTATAGCTCACATGCCAAGTTCACTTTTCCTCTGTCTAAATCTGTTGAGTTTCATATACAGAAGAGAAGGATCTCCTGTCTCTATTTCTATATCACTCCTCTAGCAAGTCAGACAAGTCCAGCTTTCACTGGCTAGAGCTCCTCCAGGAGTTCTAGTCTCAACTAGAAAAGACAACAGTAATTTCTAGCTTTAACAAAAGCATGAGAAGCAGTAAAAGAGCCTTTTTTTGGAATCCCAAGCATCAGCATCTGTAACTGTGGTCTTCACGTTCACCTGCTGAAGTACTGAATGAGTTCCAGCCTCTCAGGCAGCCATGCTATAGAGGATGGCAGAGTTGCCTTTGGTTTGAATGGTTAACGTTACCTTTTTGAATTTAAGTTCATTAACAATAGAGTGCTGAGGAAAGAGTCCAGTGGATTAAGTCAATTAAGATAAAGAGCTCACATACATTTAAAACATTTCACACAGTGCAAGCAAGTGTGCAACAACTGCTTGCTCACAAGTTGGAGAGACCAGTACCCACACAACAGCTATCTTCGCTTTCAGCACTATGTTTAAGAATTTTAACCTTAGACACCAGAAGTTAGGCTCTGAAAGCAGGCACTGTGAGCACTTACCTGTTATTTTCAATAAAGAAAGTGTTAAACCAGAAGAAGAAAGGGCAGTCATCATAGCCTTTTAAGAGATCCTAAAAGGAAACACCTTGTTTAAGAACTTCATTAGACAACAGAACTTATTTTTTGCAGAGCAAGAGTACTCACCTGTCCCCAGTAGTTTGGTTTACAAAGTTAGAGTACCAGAATCAATACACTTGAAGAACCAAATATCACACCCAGATCACTATTTTCACTCAGGTTATTTCAAGATTAGGTCACTTCATTGTATTAAGTTTGAGTAAGAGACCCACATTAGAAGCAGCAGGTACTCAAGATGTTTCGGTTGTACAGTATGAACAGCCAGACACCTCCCCTGCCTGCATAGACTGATGTAGCAACACTTGCTGCATCACTCACTACACAGAGGCGGAATAACACCTGCTACAGTGGGGCCACCCCACACAGTAGGAGCCACTGGGAGGAACAGACTCCACCCCACACAGCACAGCCAGGTGCAGCGTGCACTGCAGCCTCTTCTCATACTCAAGTGAAGGTCTTCCCACTGTTATACTTACAGACTGCGATTCAAATCTGACTTTCACATCACCACTTATAACAGGGCTGTCTTCCACAGCAATGACTACAGAGTCACTCTCAGAATCAAAGAAGAGCTAGATGACAGAATAAAGCATTGGTTTTGTTACTGCAGAGACAAGGGACCAATTAATAACAACACCTAGCTACTCATTCATGGTATACAAATACAATAGCAGTGCTAGAATAATAGCCAACAGTTTAACTCGCTCTGACCCAAGCTGCTGATTGCATTTAAGTGACTTCTAGGGAAATCTTTCAGTATCTTACCAGTACTTTTCCTATGATTTAGCAAAGCTTAGCTTTTTAATTCTCTCAGAACTTACACCATTCATTTGTTTAGATAGTTTTATGTCCAGTATTCAGCTTTTACAGGAAGACACTTTTGACTTAAGTACTTTCAGCTCCTGTTTCTCAACTGACAATTTCATAGTACTCACCTTGCAGTTTCCTTGACTGGCACATACACATTCTAGTACAACTTGTTTCTTCACTATTACCTGCACCTTCATATCAGTTCCATTGCCTTTCCCAACTCCTAAGAAGAAAGAGTTGTATTATACAATATATATTAGCTGGAAATGTAAGTGGTCATTAAAACCAAGTGCAAACCTACTCAAAAGTGCCTTCTCTCCAGATTGCCTTGCTATAGATTTTTAGAAAACTCACATCCTAAAAGGTAGCTCAAGATTCAGTGGCTGAAAGCTGTATTTTCAAGTAGCAGTGAATTCTACTAAAGGATCAGGAAATGGCTAATTTAGAGTCTAGTTCTACTGACTGACCAAGAACAGCAGTTTGAAGTCCCCTAGAACAAGTACTGCTGAACTTCCAGCCTTTTATCAAGATTATCATTACATATGTACAGAATCAGGTATGTGTATCAAGCTGAGAAACCAGATCAGCTAGTATGTAAGCCACCATTTTGTCCATACACCCAGAAAGTGACAGAATACACAGGGTAACTGCACTCCAAAATGCTCTTCATTCTATTGTAAATGTGACATCTGAATTCTCAAATACCAGTAAATCTACATTCTTATGTGTTAGAGACAGTAAAGAGATCAGCTGCCTGTACTAGGAAAATATTACCAGATAGAGAAATGCCCAAATTCAAGAGTTCTTACCATGTATAGAATGGATTTTGAAGTTTTTTATTTTGAGTTGTCTCTCTGGTGGGAGTTTCGAGTCATACTTGTTTTTCAGTATCTCATAATACCCAACATACCTACTCTGTAAAGCAAAAAACCCAGACACATTATGTAGTTTCTGTACCCCACACAGAGTGATTCTAGGCAGAAGTAGGATTAAACACATCTATGTTCTTAGTCTCTTAAGTCCAAAGCTAAGAAAGTAGCCCTTTGTTCTTCCCCTTCTCAGTTCAAACAATCCTCTAGACAATTTCGATACCCACATTTTTAAGCACTATTTAAACTTCATGTTCTAAAAGGAATTCTGCAATTTTGAGTTCAGCAAGAAATGAGCAGCTTTGATACTGTAGCTTTTTTGAGGGGCAGAATGTTTAAGCGTACAATATTCGTTTTATGGAAGCACATTCTGAAGGACAGTTGTACTTTCATTCTATTTTATACCAGCAGCTAGAGTACCTCTGTCACCAGCTTTTTCTCATGCCTCTGAATCTCACACTACAGTGAAACAAGATGAGTCAAGTCTTAAACTGGCTGAAGCAATAACTTGTTCGGTATCTCCTTGTGAACTCAGTTTCTAGAGGATACATTCCTCCAACCAGCCACATCAGTGCCATCCCCCTTCCCAGCACAGACTGCAGGCTTCAGTGCATTCTTGATAAATAGCCCAGTTGTCTTGCTTTAGTGAGGATGGGCAAACACTGCAACAAGTTGCACAGAGGTGGTGGAGTGCAGCAGGATGCTCTACCTCAGTGGTCAGGAAAAAAAGACTCACCACACTGAGTGCTTTCTGGTGAAAGAAAACTACCAGATATCCTAGGTTACACTGTGCCTTTGAATATACTCTGGACCAGTCAGACCCAGAAAAAAACAGAATACTGATAAAAAGGAAACAGTGTTCTTATGAGATAAAAATATTTTGCTAAGCTAGAAGGATCATTGAGCAAGGCTTTGCAAATGACTGACAGTCAGTCACTTTATTTTATAAAAGCCCTGTCCCATTCCTGATCAGGCAGGACTCTTACACACTTTTCCCCATGAGATGTTTGATTATTCAACCCTCAAGTGGGTACTTCCCTCAGTTATTCCTCAGAGGCTGAGTGAAAGGAAGTTACCCACAGTCATCAGGTAGGGTAAGTAACATCAGTCCCTATTCAATAACTGAACTATCTTTAAAACATTGCTTCAGTTATTAATTGGCATTTACTAGGTCTAGAATAATAAGCAGTTGCCATAGCACTTCTATTGTGTAGTAGATATTTTGATTTATGCCCTTTAGCCCAATCACATTATTACAATTTATAATAAAGTTTTGCTTCGTTTCTACATACAGTCTAGTTTGCCATCCTGTAACCTGCATGGGACAGTGAAGCCTATCTGTGGAAATATCCTAGACTTGACTGGACAGGGCTATGGGCAACCTGCTCTAGCTTACCCTGCTTGAACTAGGTTGGACTGAAAGCTCTCCTAGTCTCACCAATTCTGTCATCTTTGACTCCGTAATTCAGGTTTTATACTACACAGAGAGACAAAAAATGTGCTTAGACAAAGGAGATGGGGGGGAAGATGCAGTGCAGTCTTACAAGTAGATAGTCTTCTTACTCTTCAGAAAAGATTACAGAAAGTTCAGGAGTTCAGCATGTAGTAGAAGCCTACATCTCTGAAACAAGGCAGGGAAGTGGAGTAGCATAAGTGCTCACAAGGCTAATGTTTGGCTACTGTTACTGGACCTGCTCAAGCTTACCTGGGATGGAGTTTCAACTCCTTGAAACTTGGTACTTGTGCTTTTATCAGTTCTTCTCTCTGCAAAGTAGTTCAAACTTTCCTACATAGGAAGATAATTTCAAGAGTTAAGATATTCATCTCACCACCATTCCCCTTCCTGAGAAATGGATAGTAAACCAGAATTAGACTACTCAACTCCAGTAAGGGAAGGTAAGGGAAAATACACAGTAGTTGTTTTGGTACTTTCTAAAGGAGTCTTTACTAGACTAAGAAAGCACTAATTAGGAAGTCAGATGTATTAAGTCTGTCATCCATGAAAGAACACTAATAAAGCTCATTGAAGGAAGAAAGCAATATGCTTTTTAAGAAATTGCTTTTGAACAATCTACATTTCTGAAGTGGTCTGAGGCAGACCAAGCTGAACATTAGTTCAGATCTTCACTAGCCAAACTCGGAGAAAAACAAGTGATTAAATGGATACACTCTGCTCAGGCTATCTTGAGTGACCTGGGCCTTTTGCAACCCAGGTTTCCAGGTCACTATACCAGACCTGGGATACTAAAGCAGCACACACATCTAAGACATGTTGATCTTTCTCCCTTTCCCCAGAAGGGCTTCTTGCTCCAATACTGGCAGTCAAGACAATTCTTGATGCCTCACACTACTTGGAAGGAGATTAGGGAAAAAATTGCTCAAGACCGCTTAAAAACAATGCTGCCATCTTTAATAAAGCATGCTCAGAAGCCACCCACAGTTTAAGAAAGTTGTTGCTCAAGATCCTAGGTCTATTATCCCTCCCAAAAAAAAGTGCTTCAAAGTCATTACCCTGTTAAATTCTACTCTCCCAGTTCTTCCCAATCAAGAACAGTCTTGATCAGAAAGGAATTTACAAAGTAGCAAGACATGCAACAGCTTCTTTGTTAAACAGATTATTCATAGTATCCTTCTTCCAGTACAGAGTTTTTGCAGAGTATTAGTGTGTTTCACTAATTAAGTGGGTTCTAAAAGGGGTATTTTGAAAACTAAAAGAAAAAATAAACACCAGGTATTACCTTTGCACTTTCAAACTGGTAACTGTCTATGAGCCAGATACAGATCATTGTTCCAGTCCTGCCTATATTAGAAGTAAGAGACAGATTGAACTACAGGAGTTCAAAGGTATTTAGGATTATTTTTGCAAATACAACATTCTCCTCCATTTAAAAAAGTTATAAACAGGAGATAAGTGACACTAGAGTAGTCAAGTGCCTGGATTTCTGGGAAGAACAAGCTAAAAATATGATACCACAGTTTATTAACTTGTTCCTTGAAAGCAGCCCCTGCATTTCTCTGTAGTAGACCGAGAAGCACTCAGGAAGCTGGCCAGCATCTGCCTACTCTATTTAGAAGGGGGTAGAGTCAAATACACTACTAGATTAGGTTATAGACTGGCACTTCCCAATGCTCTAAGACTCGAGTTGCTTCTCTGCCCCACCTTTTTTCCCCCAAAAACCCTACTAAGAAGGCCTTAAGATCTCCAGCACAAAGACTCCAATATAGTCTCAATTTCTAGTTTAAAAAATCTTAGAGATCAAGTTACCCCTCCTTACACTTGTTCTTCAAGCTGGTTTTGGCTTTCAGGTAGTTACAATGTTCAGTTTTGCAAAACCTTTTAAGCTATGGTTCCAAATGGCAGAAAGAGCCTTTTTATGTTAAGTAACCACCTGGTTTAAACCAAGTATTTACAGTAGTAACACCAGGCAGCTAGATGTGGCATGTTTGCAGGGTAATTCAGCTTATTCACACAGCTATCTGTGCACTTCAACAGCTCCTGCACTACCACGGGCTGCAAACAGCACCCCTACAGGTCAGCTTATCTGCAGTAGATTTGACTAACCCCTTCCCACAGGACTACATTGCACTCTAATCAGACAATACCTTGTGTATCTTGAGTTAAGATCCAGCAGTACCTACTAATTACATCCTCCCCCATCTCCCAAGAAATGAAAAAGCTTGAGGTAAATGGCAAGATATTCAGTGTGGGTGACTGGCTGCCAAAGCTGCAGCTTAAGACTTTTGATAGCATCTATTTCAGTAGCTCCCTAGACCCAGTCTCTCCTGGGAGACTGCCATCTCAGCAGTAAGGACAGCAAGAAGTTACTGCAGACCATTTTAAGAGGTCAGATGCCAGCTTAGATTAAGAACCAACTTGGGCCACCTAAAAATGGTGTTGTGTAACACTAAACACACAGCACTATACTGCTGCTAGTCAGTGTCTGCGGAATTTGTGGAGTTACACTCCAAACCCATCTCACGCTACAGCTTAAGGCCATACTTACATCAAAGAAGCCATTACAAGAATAACGTGCAATTTGTAGCATACACAGATTACACATGAGAAGTTTTACCTTTGCCTCCTTTACAGTGAATTGCAATGATGTTCTTTTCATCTTGACTCATCCATTCACGAACATTGGCAGTGAATTTTACCATGTCCCTAAATAAGAGGAAAGTTAATTGATCAAAGCAAATGCCCACAGAACTATTAAGATGTATGCATTCCTTGACAAGACTCACTGTAGTGCTGGGACATTGTGGTCATCAATAAAGATCCTTTCCACCCTGTAGTGGAAGTACTTGGGGTCATAGCCTTTTTCACCTACAAGGAAAGATCTATATTTATGCCAGGAAGCGGAACAGACTTGCAAGAAAGTGGCTTGTGACACACAACTGCTGGTCTGAGTATATACTAGTGTTTAAAGTACAGTAGTAAAAATAGACAAAGTTGAAAAACTGAGGTAATCTGGCTAAAGCCATGCTTGCTTAGCTTTAGTTTCACACCTCTCACTTTTAAGTGAAAATTAATCTCCAGGCCCAAATGTCCATTCCTTCCCATAGGGGCATCTGAAAGCTAATATTCTGATGTACTATCAGGGTAAACCACAGCAAAAACCACCTACAAAGTGGTAAGGAGCTGCTAACACCACAGTCCTCAACTGTAACCCCTCATCTATTGCTCTGCTGGCTAGAGGACAGTTATACTTTTTCAGGACTTCAGTATCAACACTTCTGTCTCATGTCTTGCCTGCTTCCAGCTCTGATGCTCAACTATGAAAGCAAAACCCACAGAATAGTTGTTCCTGAAGTATTTTCCACCTCTAAACAGAAAAGCTTTTAGCTATTAATTAACCTCATTCTTCTAAGCCTTCATTAGAAAAATCCACCAACATCATCCCAAGTTTTAGCCTAGGTTTAGTTCTTCCACTTTAGTAAGTGTTTTGTAATACTGAAGCAATTGTTCAGCATGAGCAAGGAAGTCTAAACTGCAAGGTATCCAGTATCTTCTCTACCTTCTCTATCTTCAGTACAACACATCAGATACTCAAAGTCAATAGCCACATTCAGGATAAATGGCAGTCAAACAGCTGTGTACTTTTGACAGACTTTAAATTCTTGGAGATCTGGTATTGCCAGCATCACACCTTGAAAAGATGTAGCAGTATCTCAATACAATCAGCAGCCAAACATACTTACTGCAGAGATTGTAGACTTTGTAGTGGTCTGCATGTTTGGTGTCCAGAAATCTTGCAACTTCCTAAAGCAATAACAAGTTCAGAGTAGTTAGTGCTCTACTCCTTATTTCCACTGCCTCCAACCCTCAAGTGGTGTTAGCAACTCCAGTCATGAACAACCCTTGGACAGCAGTCCTTTCCAGCTCAATAGCTCAGGTTCTTGTCTGGAATAAAAGTACAACTACCTTCCCTGCCCTACATATTTTAGTTTCCACATTACCAGGCAGCATAGCTCTAAAGAGCATTAATGCAGACCTTTTAAACATCTTTATTTAAATGAGTATACAGTTCTCATCACTCATACTATTACTAACCAAGGGCAGAACTGACTTGGTTCTCTGAAGCACTCCCAAGAAACAGGAGCATCAGAGCACCAGTGTGTGCACACTGCAAGATACATTCAACCAGGCTTAGCTAAGAGACTACAGCACAAGCAGTGCAGCACAATGAAGGCTACTATTTAGTCATTCCAGCTAGCCAAGACAGCAGGACTAGGATTGACTTGCAATCTAGTCCACAGGCAAACTACTGAAAACCTTGAAGTGAAACAGCATTCATAAATAATGAACTTGGTAGATGAGGGATCTTTACCTCTATAGGGTTCCTATAGAAAGATTGCTTCCCAGAAGATGGAAATGACATGGCAATAATGCGATCTGTGAAAGAGACAGCAATTAGAAGTAACAGGGGGAACCCTCCCCATATGTAAGAACTACATTATAAAACAGCTTATTTCTACCCTAATTAGAATAACCACCTACTGATTTACTGATTTGAGATGTTTTCTTCTCTATTTAGTACAGCTAGGGTAGGAGAATAATGCTTGCTGAAGCATCAGCTACCATTGTCAGCTTTCATAGACACACAGGCAAAAATACGGAGTTAGTCAATAGTTCCTCAGCTCTGGTTTCCTAGGCCTCAGAAGAATTTCTACCATTACATGCAGCATGTACAACCTCTCTCCCAGAAGGCTAATCCTTGAACAGTGTCAGAGTTTGGAATCTGTATTTCCAAATCCTACAAAAAAAGGAGTAAGCCCGGTTTGACGTCATACTTAAGTTTCATTGGTCTAAAACACTGCCTGTATTTCATGTCAAGCCATTATTAACTGAATAACCAGTGTTAGCAGGATGCAATGTGCCAAGTGTCATTTGCTTCTACAAACCAGTAACATAAGTGAGATCCAGATCAAAGCCATCTTTCATATAACGCCTTTTGTTTTCAGAGACCTGCCAAAAAGAGAGTGGAGTTAATCTTCCACACCAAAGATCAACAAGCATTGCCCATTACTAAGGAAAATCAGCCATCTAGATTCTGAAGTTAAATCATGAGTAGCAGAGCCTCACTTTGCTATAGCAAAGTTCACAGTATTAGCCAACAATAACATTTATTGTGTTAGCTTTCAGGTAGAAGCTCCATACAGAAATTTTGCCCCAAAGCTTGAAAGTTTACTTTAGTGAAAAGGACACTGCAGATTTATTGCCAGCTGTAGCATGAATCTGTCATTTCTATTTGAGTGTTTGGGGGCTGAAGGAAGGAAGAAGAAAGTTACAGGCAGCATAAACAAGACTGCTTATTCCTGAGCAAGGGGCGTACTCAAAGCTTCAAGTACCATTGTAGTGGCCCTGATGAAAAGAAGAGACATTTGCAATGGATTGGGCTTCAACAGCTAGGTTGTTTTGTTTTCACCTGGAATAAGCAGCAGATACATTAAAATTCCTATCATACCCTACATGAGGGAGAATAGCTTATGTACTAGAAACTAGAAATTCTCAATTGAGACACATGGTAGTGTTGCAATTGGTTTGATATGCTGGCCTTCCAGGTCACGTTGCTGCTTACTTGAGCAAAGTTAAGAATTATTAGCCATACTGAAGTTGGAGGCAATGCACCAATATCCTGTCAGGGACACTGACCAGACACACAGCTTAGGCAGCAAGATCAGTTGCAGACCAATAGGCTGTGGTCAGTCTTGCTACTCACCATTGATAGCTGCCTGGAGAAAAAGCTAGAGTTGGAAACAGTAATAGTAGCCTAGATATATTAAGAGGCCAACTTACCATTCTCCGGGTCACCATTTCAAGTTGCTTCTTCTGCGAAGCCAGGCGAAATACTCTCATTAAAATGATGATTCTCATAGCTCGGAATAAAGTAACCATTCTTGATGGGAGTCAGATTCACCACAGAAGAAAATGAACACAATCAGATTTAGATGCAAAGCTTAAAGCTATCTAAAAGCTGTTTCAGAGACAGTTTAAAGCTTGGTTTCATATACTGAACTAGAATTTCTCAGGCTGATTTTGAAGAATACTATGGTTTTATTGAGAGGTTTTGTTGTTGTTGGTTTTTTTTTGGGGGGGGCAGCAGCACAGGGGTAGTACATGTTCTGAACAGCTAACAGAACTAGAAAAACCCCTACTTGCTCAGACACCATTGCAAGCAACAAATTCCCTTAACACTACCTATGTTATTATCCACAAATTCTTGTTCCTGGAAGCTTGTTCTCAAGTATACACATAAGTAGCCACCTGAAAAATAGCTGAAAAAAGAAGCTAGACAGGCCATATACATCATGTCTTAATTAAGAAATCTAAGATCAGATCAGTATTAAACCCGACATTTAATCATTCAGAAACCTGAGCAGATTATTTGGTTTGAAGAACTTTGAACTGCTATTGAACTTTGAAGCAAGCAAGATGCTCATGTGAGTGGCTCTACCAAAACAAGTGAACAGGGCAGCTGCTTTCACATACCCTTAGGGACTAGGGTAAACTAACATTAATTCCCTAAGGAGTATGTGAGCATATACTTTTGAGGAGCACTTGCACATATTTCAGGTCCTAGCACACTTAAAGTCTAGTTATTTGCAAGGTTTCCTAATATAGTTATAGGCACAAATATTATGAAACATTATCCCAGTGAAGTCTCCTTCCCACTGATGGTAGAGCTTAAAGTACGCAAGAGAAAGCTGTCCTGGAAGAAAGTTTCAGTTTTTCCCCCCACCTCCTTCCTAGTCCAGAATTATCCTTCTGTTTTTGAGAACTGGGTTGTCTTGGAGCTAGCAGCCAAGGAGACAAACCAACACAAAAGACTCCATAGCCCCCTCTCTCCAGCCTGAGCCACAACTGTGGAAAGCAGCTCATCAAGATTAAAAAAAAACAACAAAAAGAAAACAAAACCAAAACCAAAACCAAACAAAACACAAAGCAACCAGTCTGCATTCTGCCCATTAGGAAGTTAGCCAGTTAAGCATTAGCTACCAGAACTCATTCCTCAATGTTCTTATAGCTCAGACTTCATGGTAACCAGCAACTGATCCCAGTGCACAGCCAGCTAGACCTGATTGGAAAGAGACCCTACCCCTCCATCAGGGCATGTTACCTCTACAGACTGTCACCGAAATGTCACTTGTCATGTATACAATCTTATCCACAGAAGGCACATAAAAGCTATTAAAATTCTGATTGAGATTTATCAGGTGCTTTAAGACTGCTGTTTACTTCTTGAGCAAGGGCTATGGGGAAAGAAAGGTGCTAAACCCTAGGTAGGCTACTGAGAATTAGCTGGATTGTGTGGACACTCCAGTAGTGTTGGATAAGAAGGTAATCTCATCTCAAAATTTGGCCAAGTTTGAGGTATCTTCTAGTGTCAGGTGGTAATATTTTGGTCAGAACAGGACTGAAGAGCCCCTTAACAGAAGGGGTTTTACAGAGGGCTTCAAAAATTGCATGAGTGATATGGCAGGCCCCAGCTGAGTACCTTCAGACAACATCAGTGTGAAATCCTTTTAATGTGGCCCAAATTCCTCATCAACTTCAGCAAGAAAGAATACAAGGAACTTGCACACACCAATCTGCAGCAGGACAGATCAGTGCAGGACCAGGTGTACTACTAACAGCCTAGTAAAGATAGCGGTGCAGATTACCCTGTCACAGTGCTATTTCTCTTGCCTTTAAATGGATGCTGGCATAAGATGAAAGCTGCTTTAGAAAAAAAATGCAGCCAGAGAGATGGGAAGTAATCATTAAACCCAGATTAATGTTTAAAAAGACCTAGAAGTAAACAGCCTTTTATGATTCTGAGGCTGCAAGAACTGTCAAAGGAACAGTTTACTTTCTGAAACCTGAGTTTAGCTGGCATTTGAAGAGATGAGTAGTACTTCCAGATGTTTGTCCAACTCTGGATTCTTCAAAAACCAGACTTTGAGTTGGTTTCTTCTAGAAGAATGTTTCCTACCTTATGCCTAGTAGCCAGTTAAATTGGGGAGGTGATTTTTTTTGGGGAAAAAAAAAGCTTTCAACTTCTTTCCCTGGCAAGCAAGTTTCACTAATTCAAGCCTAGTGCAGATAAACTAATCTTAGAGTAGTAGATCTGTCTCCATCAGGAATGGATTCCTCTCACAGGTTATCATCTGATACAGCTACAGAAATCAGATGGAATTAAGACTTATGCACATAAACAGCATGCTTCCCCTTCCCAGAGCATAGCTGAAAAACCCAACACACATTACCATGGAGCTTTTGGGAAAGCAAGGTGGAAGATACAACACAGTTTGGCAACTCTTTCAAGATCCAATGGATGGAGATCATCCCTCAGCTGTCTGTTCCATTTGCTACTATAACCCAACTCCTCTTTCTGACCTTCTTCAGACTCTTCTCTATCAGCATTGCCGCATACTTCTCAGCCCCAGGCCCATCAGTGCTTGAATTGGAGCATTTGATGGCCTCACTATTCACTTATAGTCACACTGATATGTTTAGATCACATCCGCCTTTGAGACAGGGACAGTCTACAGTATAACTGTAGACCAAAGATAGGTGTCTCTCTCTTTCATTAGTCTGTACCATGAAATATGATCAATCGTATTTGTGATCTATTATGCACACATTCAGCTTGGAGGTACCCAAGAAAATTCTTATAAGACTACCAAGAAAAGAGAGCTCACATTCAACAGCTGCCATACCACTCTTACCTTGGAATCTGATTTACTTCAGTGAAGCCTGACAAGGTGTATATCATGTTAATTATCAGAGTGCCCACCACTATGAATGCATCCAAAATATTCAGTTTGTACTGGAAATATTTCCTAAAGCTGAAACAAGGGAGAGTTTTAGAAAGATTGCCATATGCATAGCAAAGATTGAAACATCTTCAGGAAGAGAACCACCTATACTCAACTACTGCTAGAGCCAAGCTCTCTTGAAGTAGTTCTTAACACTAAGCACTGAAGACTCACTAAGAAAATATCTTATACCATGTCTACACACAAGTCACAGCAAAGTTGATGCACTTTCCAAGTGCTCATTTATACCAAAAGCACTTCACAGGTTATGCTATAGAAAGGTAACAGCCAATATACACAGGCAAGACAATGCGGCCATTGTTTATGACCAGAAAATTGGCTGATAGGACATTCATGTTCATAGTCCAAGCTTGAAGTATTGCTTCCTTACTAGCCTGAAGGCTTGCCACACTGACTTCACTTTTGCCCAAAGTCTTACCCTTCAACAAAGACCCTCAGGAGAACATCGATGAGAAAGAAGTATGCTATTGCCAGGGAAACACCTTCAAAAATATCTGAAAGATACTTCTTCTTCCCAAGGACAGCCAGATCCACAATAACAAATATATTGTCCACAATGATAAGTACAACTCCAAATATTCTGAAAAAAAAATACAAGTGAACCTGAGAGATAGGAATTAATTGCTGACATTGATTGACTGAAGAGTACAAGCCCAGATTTGGTTTTAGCTGTCACAGTGAGAGTATGTTCTCTTATATACAGATTGAAGCCTGCTTGTAAAAGCAGCTGAAGGATTCAAATTGCATTTGAGTGGTCTGCACAGAGTAGTACATCATCCATGTGAAATTGCACATTTACCTCAGACTCAGCTGTAGTTATGAACCCATAATTCCACAGCTACTTAGAAGTGGTGCAAACCCAGATGCATTAAGGCACACAAAGTGTCAGTGCTGCCTTTCAGATTACTCACTTTCCCTCCCACTCATAACTTAGTGCAGTCCCTTAAAAATAACTGTTTAGTGGCTTGCCTTGTTTCAGCACCTAGACTGCATACAACTGACCAATTAGGCTGTGGCAGCCTTTGAACAACCAAAGTGAGCCATTAAAGTGCTTTTATCCAAGTCAATGGCATTTGCAGACTTTCAGCTCTCCTTAAAGAATGTAGTCATACCTGTTCCAGACTTCTTTCCCAATCTAAGTACTTTTCTCAAGTCACCCTTTCTGAGAGCAATAGGGGGTTTAGTAGTTTCTAGAAAGAGCGTGCTGGAGTCACTGTTGTTCAATGAACTCTCCGATTTCTTACACCAAAAATAAGGACTATTTCTACCTTGTCCATATCATTACAAGCGTGATATTTTACCTGAATCCAAATGACATCACAAATGGGGATATTTTTCTCCTTATTGCACTGCAAGAAAAGAGAATTGGCATCAAGACAAGTGACACTTTGCTACTCATACTAGTCACAAGAGCATGGTTACATTCTTCCATTATTTTTTTTTGTTTTAATATTCTGTATAGTGATTTCTTTAAGAAGAGATTATTCAGTTGCATTCATGAAGTATATAGGCTAAGACAGTACTTGGAAACAATACTTTAACCACTTGTTAGAAGCAGTATTCATCAGTTACAGACTCTAGAAGTGCAGCAATGTGTACTTACGCATAACACTAGTGTCACAATTCCAGTGACACTAAAAGTCTGGCTTAATGACCTGTTATAAGCTTTAAGAAGTGAGCTTATTAATAGCTATTGGTCAAGAGGAAGATTAAAGGATAAACATCTCTTAAGGTATCTTGTTCAAGATATTAGCTTATTATAATAGAGGATTTTTTTTTCCAGGTTTGTGAAAAAGCTGCACTTAATAGCTCCACTTCTGCTTCTGTGCTTTTGGAACAGAGGAAGAAAAATCTCTCCTCTACTTTTTCAAGTAAATATTGGTTCAGCTTTCAGATTGAAGACTCAAATGCCTTTTAAGAAAAGTTACTGCAGCTAAGTTCTTCCAATTGTGAGAGTTATCTCCAGCCATAGCAGGGTTTCAGCTCCTGATTTCAGTCATAGAGGATTTGTTGCCTCTTTGGTATGCTTTTAAGCCTTCTGGTTTAAAGCTAAGCTTTTGTATAGTTATCTCACTATCTGAAAATCTCTTTAGGCTACACAATGAATTAAGGTAGAAGCAATAATCTGCAAACCCCAGTAGGACAGTTTGAAAACCAGATTGCCAGTCTGTTAAGCAATCCTGGGATTACTTCCCTATTGTAAGCACTGAATCTTTTCTTAGACACTTAAAAGAAACCACTTTCTCCAAGTATATCACTAACAGTAGGACCTACCAGAAGTTCTGACGTAGTGACAGATTTCTTTTGTCTTGTTCACGTATCTACCCTATCTTTCCTGTTACATACAGTTACTACACTTCCTCTCCCCACCACCATTAGAGATACCACTGTTACAGGAAGTATTTGTCAGCTCAACAATGCTTACTGTACTCCAGTGATCCTTTCTGAGCTACTTGTTTCCTCTAGGGTAACTTGAGCATTGCATTCCACCTGGTGCATTTCCTAACACCTCAGTAACTCAGTTTAAGACAAGGCTAGATCTCTTCAAAATAATGAGAAAGCACCTTGCTGGCCTTACTGAATTAACCCACACTTCTCATTAGGTTCATACTTTAAACTAAGGAGCAAGGTCTAACCAGCAAACATCTGCATCCTTAAGAAGGAGATCCTTAGGTTGCAGTGCCCACTTTTCCCATGGAAGTCAAGGATGCAGTAGCAAGCCTTGTCTAGAAGACAGCCTAGCATATAGGAGGTTCTCATTACATTTACATTGTCTAACATGTAGAAAGCACTGCAATAATTACACTAGCAGTTTGTTAGTCTATGTCTTTGCACAGTCAATCCTACAATGCAAGTGTAGTAGATACACCAAAACTTCAGCTTCCACAGTCTAAGGAAAAGTACCTTTATTAGGTGCACTTAAGTTTGAAATGTATATACACCACTCCCATTCAGCCCACCAACATTTTACATCTGTTGAAGAGAGCATGGCACATTTGCTTACATACTCAGCTTAAAGCCTTTGTAAAATGCATCTGTAAATGCCAACTTCTGAATTCTAGGCAGACATGTCATATAGAAGAACTGAGATAAGAGGCTTAATCTTACTGCTCTTGAGCTGCAGCAACAGAGAAACAAATCTATTCACTTGTCACTGACTTGACTAAGTATCCTATAAGAGTTAGTAAACTAGTGACAAGAGCCAAACACTGTTAGAAAATAACTATTTCAAGAACAGAGTTAATTGCTAGCAAGTTCAGATAGTTTAGTCTTGACGATGGCACAATGCTTATCATTTGCCTCAGATACTCATTCACCTCACTTTCTTAGCAGCATTTGTTCCTCTGTGCTCTCCTAAATTCATTTCTTGGGAAAATGTAATCAATGCAGTTTGGACTACCCATTCTTCATGCTACGTTGGACTTGCAGCTAGTTCTTCAGTTAGGCTTTCATCTCTAGAGGCATAAAGAAGCTTCCTGAGCTTACATGTCTTTATTATGTACCAAAACAAACATCAACATCAAGTGATTTATCAGGCTTATCTCTACTTCAGTAAGTCATCTGCCTTCTTATTTTAGCTCAAAAGTTTCCACTTCAGGGGGTAAGCAAGGCATTTAGTATATCATTAGCTTACCTGGAACAGCTGTCTGGTTCATCATCCTCATCACGACCATCATCAATCTTTACTGTGGGCTCTTCTGGTTTTGGAGAGCTGGCAAAGATAAAATACAAGTCACATACTGATACAGATGTCAACTTCATATACTGCTGTTGTTGTTTCAGAAGAAAGAATATTAACTGTCAGCTGAGGGAGGGAACAGATGCATCCAGCAATAGGATAAAGAGCTTTGAAGTAGGGCATCCAGGAGTCCGCTGAGGACTTAACAGCCCAGTCCAGACTCTGGAAGCTGGAAATACACATATGCAAAATTGCTTCAGAGAGTTCAAATTACATCAATGCTATTACAGTGAACTACTTGTTCAGAGAATTAATGCTTTCTCCAGGAAAAGCCATAGCACAGAGATGTTTTTGTGCAGGGCAGGATACCAGACCGGAAACTGGAAGACCATAGCAGCAGCAGCTGAGCTAATGCTAGAACAGCATTTTCTGGATCTAGTGGCTGTTTGCCATAACTTCCTTCAAAGTGTCTCTTTAGGTCAAGCTTTTGTTCAACTGTCTGAGAAGCTTTAAGGACTACATGGCTACTTCAGATGAAATAAAATGTAACATCCAAATCCAGGAGTTTCCAATTCAACCTTCTCCACAGAAATACTGTGCTACATAATAGCACAGCCACAATATTTGCTGTGGCTCTGCCTCTGGCATCATTGCTTCCTGGGCACAAGCAACTACATACACATTTCCAATATTGATGTTTCCATGCTGTTCCGAGTTGTTACACTAATGGTTCAAACATGCTAGATTGCCTCAGAGGATCCAAGTATCCTTCATCCTCTACAATGGGCTCATGTACCAGCACTGCTTTTGCAGTGTGGGCTAACCCTCTTTTAAGCAAGAGGTTTAATGATCCATTTCCTTCAGTGTCAGAAACCAGTACTGATGGTTCAGTTAAAAAAAAAAGGTATGAATGACTCCTCCCCAACAATTTTGGTATTTAAAGCTAGTTTTCCAGCTCCATTATCTCCAGACACCAATGTTTTCACTTTGTTCCTAGAACCGAAGCAAAGCTCTAGTGATGTATGGCCATTCAGCTTTGCTTCTCAGCTATTCCTGAGATATTCATTTGGGAGTTTCCACTTAATGTACAGCTGAAATACTTGACTCATTAAAGCAGGTTGCTGCTGCTGCTACAGCATTTTTGCTGCAGGTCACTTGTTTATACTTCTAGGCACATGAAGTACCAAATGCCACCTTCTTATCCTCTACTATGATTAAAATAAAAACAAGCAACAGTAGTATTTTGCATTAGGAAGCCAATCTTTAACACAAAAAGAAAACAGTACACTGCTTCCTCTGTGCTTTCACACAAATTCAGTTCTAGATCATAGAATGGTTTGGAAGGGACCTTAAAGATCATCTGGTCCAACCACCCTGCCATGAGCAGGGACACCTCCCACTAGACCAGGTTCCTCAAAGCCCTGTTCAAAGATAATGCTTTCCTCAGAAGGAGTTTGTTTTGCTGAGCACTCTACATCTACTTGTTGTCCAAGCTGGAACAAGCTCTCTACCACAAGCTGCTACATCTAGTCCCTGGCTACTGGGGTAGAAGAAAATGAGGATATACTAGAAGAACCTATTTCTTCCCCACACACTCTGAACTTCAGACTTGAGGCTTTTAAGAAGAGCAGAGCAAGAGCATCTTATTCTACAAGAGACCTTGACAGTGCTCATGGAGTCTAGAAGGGAGGAGGCTTTACTGCCATGAGCTCATTACATCATGCCTAGGTGCTCTGTACTTCTTAGTTAGTTCTTAACTACTTGTAAGAGGTAAGCTACATCACCATATTTTTCTCAAATATACCATACTTCACAGACAACAGCATTTTAAGGAGTGAGCAAAATATAAAGACTATGTTATATAAACTTCAAGCACTCCATTGTTATTCCCTTTGTTACATTTAAAACACTAAGAAAGTTTAGACAGGGAACACACACAGCATACCTCAACCCCAAACCCATACATTGGTGCGGTTCATCTCACTCACCCAGCAGCTTCTGTCAGCTCTGATCCTTGTTCGTATCTCACAGTTGTCATTTTGCCTGTTGTTGCTCTGCTGCTTTTAAGAGAAAGCACAACTAGTTAAAGAGAAGCCAGTATAAGAAACAGTGAATACCAGCATCCTATAGCAGCCTCACACTCAAGTTACCAGCAGACAGGCTTCTGCTTCACTTTCAAGTATTTCCTACCCACAGTTGGCAGAACACAGTTTATCTATAAGGCTAGTGAGAGTCACCCACTCAACAATGTGATGCTTTTTGACTTAATATACCACAGTGACAATAACTTCAAAAGAGCATCTTTGCTTCACGATTAAACGTTTTCCCCTGCTTCAAGCTACGAAACACAGCAGAGCCCCGTCTGGCAGCTCCGGGAGGGATGCTGCTGCTCCAGGCTGCTCTGGCAAGCACTGGCTGGACGTCCGTGGGAGCGGATGCTGGAGCTCCCAGCACACGGCCACCCCTCCGAGGGGAGGCCCGCGCTTCATCCCCCTGTGTGGCCACTCCCTTAGACCTGCCTCAAGCACAGCCGCACAGTCCCGGGAAGGGAACTGGCTCCCACAGCGGCGGGTACAGACCTGCCAGCAGTCTCTCCGCTC